GCTTGGTATTGCCTGTTGCTAAATACTCTCTATATTGGTATTCTTTTGTGGAAGGCTGTGCATGGAGATGCTTTGTGTTGCAGTATTCTGCCTCGTAACAGGAACTTCTCACAGGTCACTGATAGTGTCATTTTTATTTCAAGTTCCTACTGAATGCCTTGGAAAACTTTGTACTGGGAAGTAGAGCATTTGTGACTAAGTAGCACAGCAAGGTTAATAGTCTCAGTACCATTAATCCAATTGATAAACATCAGTGTTCTCCTTTAAAGGTTTTAGTTATGCTCTTGTCCTGAAGAGTGAGTGGAATATTAAGCCTTTTAGTGAAATAAAATTGGTTGTCTCTTACTGACCAGAACTGTATGCATAGTTAAGTACTGCAGTACAATATAACCTGTGCTTAAGGCATAGGAAATGAAAAAGAGTAAAACTATATGATTAAATTCATATATGCAGTACATCAGATGCTTAAATGACTAGTATTCTCTCTGCTTTAATCTAGAAAGCTCGTGAAGCTAATCAAGAGCTTCAGGTTCAGCTGGATCATGCAGTGCAGCAATCATTGGATCCTACAAGTAAAGGCAATTCTCTCTTTGCTGAGGTATGATTATGCCACAGACACTGAGTAGAGAAGAAATACTTCATAAGTTTTATTTCTTAATTGCATTGAAAATATTAGGGTATCTGTACCTGATCTGGGCAGCATGAATCTCTGTTCCTCGAATACTGCTTCAGTGTTGAACTGTCTAGGAACTGATCTATGGAAAACAATTTTTATGCACACTCTGAAGTTGAGGAGTTAGTAAACATAATGGAATCACTTAAAGTTACCTAGCTATCAAGATAGCAGATGGGACTGAGGGTTCATGACAGTTCTGTTTGCAGATCTTAGAGCTAAGTTGTTCTGTTCAGCTGGTAAGCCTTCTTTAATGCAGAAGATAGTATATGAAATATTAAAAGATGTTGATAAATGCTGTCTTTTAAAAAACATACTGAAGACATCTGGATGTCTGAGCATTTGGGAGGGTTTCTGAAGTAGTTTTTCAATGAGAGTTCAGCTGCTGTTAAATGCACAGGAAGCTTTTTTGTTTTCTGCCAACACCTAGGGAATGGGTTGAAATGGTAGAGTCCTCTTTTGTTGTTTTTTAAACTATTCTGATGCCAATGGACGAAACCTTCTACAGAAACATTGAAGTATATGAAATGTTACTTTATTTTGATATTGAAAGAAGAATCTGTTGCACTTTACTGATTGGGCTTCAGCTGCTACAGCACTGTCTGCTTGCTTTTATCTCAGAGGTAATGACAGTAGTGCCAACTTTCAAGTACTGTTGCTGGGAAAGCAGTATTTGCAGAACCAGCATCAATTGCTAGGTAACATCTCCTTGTACATCTCGTCATCCACGTGACAATAAGTGTTATAATTTTCATAGTAATAATTGTTAACAATGTTCTGTAGGTGGAGGACCGTAGGGCAGAAATGGAACGACAGCTGATCAGTGTGAAAATAAAATATCAGTCACTACAAAAACAGCATGCATTCACTAGAGAACAGTTGCAAAGAATGAAGGTATGACCATTACTGTAATACTCCAGGGTTTCCTTGGGGTCTGATTAAGGCAGTGTTTTAGTACAAAGGCTAGGGGATTTGATTATCTTTAAAACAGGATACAGTGGTCTGGGGGGAGGGAAATGGAAGAAAAAAAGTAAGATGTCATTGTGCTATTTGACTTTTATGGTACATCAGGATTTTTCTATTGCTGCTAGTGTTACTGCTTTATCCTAGAACTCAAAGTTATACTGAAGGCATTGTGCTTACTTAGGCAGTAGTTGTTACATGGATAACAGTAAAACACAACTCCTGTCAGTCAAACTAGCATTCAGTTTCTCCTGACAATTGTTTTTCTTACCTAATTCTCATACCATGTGAATCATTTGTGTATTAACTGTGGCTTGTCAGGAACAAATGTAAAGGGCAGGGTTGTACTCTGTCCTCTGATCACACTTTTTTGCCTCTGGGTTGCTCTCTTGTTATTACATTTGTCTACATTTTTCTTGCTTTTCCCTATCTTTAGTGCGAGAATAAGTCATAACCTTTGTTGTAACTATTTAATTTAGACTACACTTCCATAGGATGGGAGCCTGCTGGTTGATACTGTTGAGAACTATCAGCAGAAGCTGATGTACAGGATAGTGTAAAGGGGATGCTGCAAAACTGCTGTTTTCGTGTTGGTCTTCTGATTTTCCAACACAAGAGTGGATCCTTTTATTTTGATCAAATACTTGATCGTGCTGTTTGAGGAGAGTGCTTAAACATCCAGAGTGATGATAGAGTAGCACTGAAGATACAGGTTTGTGTTACCTAGCTTTTGTGGAACAGTAGGTTGAAAATAATTAAGATAACTTTCTTAAAGGACAAGAAAAGAACTACTGATTCAGCAAAGAAATTCTCTTTTACTAAAATCTGACCTTGAGAGCTAAAGATTTGAGTGAGTAAAATGATTGAATAGGATCAGTTTCTTCAGAAATTTTTCTTCTTGTAATGTGAGGGTAAGTCAGCCGTACTGATTGAATGGTATAGGAATGTTTCTTAATACTACAGATTTTCACCAAGAACTGAGGCAAATTGGTATCCCTGTTCTGCTACTTAATGTTTTTATTTAGAATTTCAATTTGTACTTGTTTGTCCTCATGAAACTTCCTCCAGTATCAGTGTTGTAGATTAGTAGTCTTAGGACAGCTGTTTGGCGTAAGCTGCCATCTTAGATCCTTGTTAGGGTCCGCTCTGCTTTGTGTTGTATTGAGGTGCTGTCTGTTAAAGCTCAAGTTATAGTTAACTGATCTCTTCATTCAGCAGCTGATTCCCGCAGTATAGGTAACTTGTTGCAGCTTAAGTTGTCAGAGTGTCTGAAAGTGGTATTTACTGATGACTTCTGAAGATCTGATTCCTGAACAGAATATAAGCAGTACTTCTGTGAAAGTTTTACCACATCTGATGTTTTTTTCTGCAGCCCACAGTATCCCTTCCGGTTTCCTAATGCTTTTGTTCTTTGTTTTTATGTAGATCGACTGCAATTTGCAATTCTGACAGGTAGCAAGTGGGATTTTAAGTGAAAAGGTTAGATGTCTACATGATTGGGAAATGTAAGGATAGTTTTAGTCAGCCAGTGGGGGTCAGAATTTTGCCTCCCTTATGTCCTGTAGAAGCTATGAGGAAGAGATAAATGATTGAATCTTTTCTTAGCTTCAATATTCCTTACTTTACATAGGAGACTCTGTAGGGTAAGCACTCTTCTCTTGCTCTCTCTGTTAATCTGTAGATCAACTGAAACAACTTAGACCTTTCCCTATGATTTCTTGAAGTGTCCTACAGTGTTATGTTGTCCATACTGACTAGACCAGTAAAAACACTACAGTTATCACTAACACCCTGTTAAGTCTTGCCACTACTGCACTTCATGTTGTTTCTCTAGTTGTTTAAATGTCTGATGTATCACTAACTGAATGCGTTAAGGCTCTCATACTATGATATTATTATGTTAACAGCATCAGCAAAATCTGCTATATATGCAGGACTTTTCTTTCATAAACTTCTCCCTTTGTAATGGCAAAGGATGTTCCTTTGCTTGAAAGGATGAGTTCCAGTGAAGGGATAGGAGAAGCTGAAATTATTGGTTTAAATATTACAGAAGGCAAACTTAGTGTTACCTGTATCTCAGAATCAGAACTGCAAAAAAAGGGTTTTAAACTCAGTGGTGAACTGGGGTGTTTTTTCCCAAGTGATATCTCAACAGATGCATTTGAACTCTGATTAAACAAGCCTGGACTGTAGTTTGGTTCTGGCTGACTTGGTGTTTACGGTTTGAATGTGAAATGTTGTGTGTCTGTCCTAGAGGGCATGTTTATAGGTTCCTTAGTCAATATGGAGAAAGATATGACACCTTGGGACTACTCTGTTCAGTAAGTTTTCAGCTGTCCGAAAGATTTTTAGTGTCAACCGATTGATGATAATTATGCAGATGATGTTGTGAAGACTACTGAGTTTAAGCATCCAGGGCACTTCTATACTTGGGATTAGAATTAAAAGGTTGAGTACCCTAACTGTTCTGGGTAAGAGGCTGAGATGTTCAGTCACTTAACCCAGTATTTCTTGTAAGGATTTACTTATTTTCCTCTCTTCCAGCTGCAAATGGCTACGCTGCTACAGATGAAAGGCTCTCAGGCAGAATTTGAGCAGCTGGAACGCTTACAGTCTATGTTAGAACAAAAGAATGGTGAGATAGAAGATCTTCTTATGAAAGTGAGGCAGCTAGAAAAATTTAAGGTATGTGGAAATAATTAAGTGGAAAAGTCATAATCAGAAGTTAAAACATGACAATAAGAAGCATTATGAAAACTATCTGAAGTCCGTGCTCAGGTTTGAAAAGGGATCTGAAGACTACTCATACCTTTATTTAACCAACAGCTGGAGAACATATACTTCTGAAGTTCAGAGGAGCAGAAAATTCTATACCACCCAGCCCCTGGTTTGGAGAAACAATCCTTTCTGGGTTCCTGTGTCTAGCACCTTCATGCTTTACTTAGTTACCTGTAGTGCTTAAATTCAGTATCTTGGTCAAAGTTCACTGAGCTATGACACCTGATTTTTTTTCTCTTAGAAGACATAACTATTTCACACTTTTACTTTGTGTACTTAGGCTTTATTGGTGTTTTTTAGTCTCTCAGCTGTATTAGATTACTTGAATATTCATTTCCTTAATAATATAATTAGAGAATGGTTTGGGTTGGAAGGGACCTGAAGATCATCTAGTCCCACCCCCCCTGCCATGGGCAGGGACACCCTCCACTAGACCACGTTGCCCAAAGCCCCATCCAACCTGGTCTTGAACACTGCCAGGGATCCAGGGGCGGCCACAGCTTCTCTGGGAAACCTGTTCAGTGCCTCACCACCCTCATAGAGAAGGATTTCTTTCTAACATCTAATCTAATTCTACCTTCTTTTAGTTTAAACTCATTACCCCTTGTCCTGTCACTAAACTCCCTGATAAATAGTCCCTCTCCAGCTTTCTTGTAGGCTCCTTCAGGCACTGGAAGGCTGCTGTAAGGTCTCCCCAGAGCCTTCTCTTCTCCAGGCTGAACAATCCCAGCTCTGAGCCTGTGTGTGTGGGAGGGGTGCTCCAGCCTCTTTGAGGCATCTTCGTGGCCTCCTCTGGACTCTCTCCAACAGCTGCACGTCTGTCTTGTACTGGGGCCCCCAGAGCTGGACACAGAACTGCAGGTGGGGTCTCACCAGAGCAGAGGGGCAGAATCCCCTCCCTTGACCTGCTGGTCACACTTGATACAGCCCGGGACACAGCTGGCTTTCTGGGCTGCGAGTGCACGTTGCTGGCTTGTGTTGAGCTTCTTGTCCACCAGCACCCCCAAGTCCTTCTCAGGGCTGCTCTCAATCCATTCCCTGCCCAGCCTGTAGTCGTGCTTGGGATTGCACCAACCCACGTGCAGGACCTTGCACTTGGCCTTGTTGAACTTCATGCGGTTCGCACGGGCCCACCTCTCCAGCCTGTCAAGGTCCCTCTGGATGGCATCCCTTCCCTCCAGCGTGTCGACCACAGCACTCAGCTTGGTGTCGTCGGTAAACTTGCTGAGGGTGCGCTCGATCCCACTGTCCATGTTGCCGACAAAGATGTTCAACAGTGCCAGCAATGTGTCTTTGCAGTTGAAGCATGCTGTTTTCTAAAACTGAATTGCTTAATCATGCTTGTAAAGCAATTTCTTCTGTCCTCTTGTGCAACTTGATAGCATCTTAACAATATTCTGGAAGGTGAGAAATACATGAGAACGCCTTTGTGCATTATTGTAATGTTACTGATGTTTGTGCGTATCGAGTGAAACCCTGTAGCCTTTCTTACATACTCACGGGCTTGATTGGCCCTTTCTTATCACAGCTTTGGAATGTAAACTTAGGTGTGTTACCTTATGCATTAGGATTATGCTTTCCAGGATAGTGACCTCTATTCTGCATTTAACCAAAGTGGCATAAAGCTAAGCTTAACCCATTTAAGTAAGCAATTGAGACAGCTTGATTGCTTTACCAGTTTTGGCATGTCAGTATTTAGCATTGTCTCTATGCCATAAATATGTCGTGTCAGGAAATTACGGGTATTTTTGCTGGTGATTTGAATGATTTATAGTCAGTGACTGACAGAAGCCTGTGAGGTCTGTAGGATAGTATTAAATCTGAGTACTTGTTCAGAAAAAAACCACAAAACCCCCAAAAAACCCAGAATGTCACATGTTACTGATGTATTTTATGGAAAGTTTATTGCATTTATGGCATCTTTACTGTCAACCACCTTTCTCATCTAAAAGATGTAACCGATTTTGAGATTTTGGCTATTGATTACCACGGCTTGTATTCCTTGCCTTTGGGGTCCAGCTGCTGAAGATAGCCTAGAAATAAAGGATGAAACAAATTCCCTGTGGGTTAACTAAATATCCTGTATTTTCAAGTAAAAAAGATAACTGTTCTGTAATGCTATTTGAAAACCTTCTGGAGTTGAGAACTTGCTTTATATCTTTTTCTTGCAGTGAATGAGCAAGAACAGTCAGTTTTGGTGCTGTTTGACATTTCTAATAAACGAAGTACTCGGAGCAACTGAGATGTCTTGTATGTTTAAATGCCTGTATGATGAGAATTCTCTATAGAAATGCACAGAAAAAGTCACCTAAGGACTAAGCTAATGTGCTTCTCAAAGGTCACTATTTGACAATCTGACATTTTTTCTTTACCAGACTTTATATGAGAGTATGGAAGAATCCAGAGCTAGCAGTAGCTCAAAAGGAGGAGAGTCTGAAGATGGCTACTATGCAGATTTATTGCAAATGAAACTTGACAACTCAAAGTATGTACTTAATGGTCTGAGGCCTAGAAGTTGGTTGTAGTCCGGTTATCTTCTAGCTACTTGGTTTTTATTCTCTCGTTTTTGTTTCTGTCTGTAGTCCACTGACTGTATGTGCAAATATGCTGCTTGTCTCGTTTTCTAGTGCTGTGGAATCATCCTGTGTTCGTTATAGGACCCAAGAGTTGGTTGGTTTGTCGTTTTACTTATTGTTGCAAAAGACAGCAGCAGAACTATTTTATACTATTGTTGCTTTCTTCTAAAAATGTTAGTATTCCTGGATACAAGATAGTTGACAAAAAAATTAACTGGGAAGAGAAGTGTATGAAGCTTCTTAACGTCTATAGGTGGTATATATTTCTCTTCTAAAGAGCCAGATAATAACACTTGAAATGTTTTATTGAACTACTTAGTTAAGATGTGTTCTATGGCTAGTGAATTCTGTATCTGTTAATTAGAAAGCCTGGAGCGTTTGGCCCTAGGACTGTAAGCCCTCAGATGAAAGTATTGTACTTCCAGCAGGAGGCAATGGTCTGCTGTGGGAAGTCCTGAGAAGTCTGTGACCTTGCTGTTGTTCCTATTAGGAGAAACTGGTGTGATTAGAGTACCTTAGGATTGCTGAGGACTCGTGATTCAGGGCTTATGATGTGGTAGTTAATGGCCTCTGAAACACAGGCAAGGACATGCACTGAGTATTAGCATAATCACTTTTGTGTTAGTCATTTAGAGTAACACCTTTGTGTAAAGCTTGTATTGTCAGCTATAGAAGTAGTTAGTTATATTAATTGTATATAGGCTATAAACCCCCTGATGAAATAGTGAATTTGTTGGTTAGGGCAAGTGTCTCAAACCAGTTACATATGTACGTATGCACTGTTCAGCATACAGCTTTGTTTAACGAGCACTATCTCTGGTAACTAAACTCACTGCTGTATGTCAAGTTCAAGTGAAAATTTTGATTGTACTGAGAGGTCTTTCATTTCCTACTAGTGTATAAATACAAATTTTGTGTGAAGTCATTGAATGCTTAGTTGACTTTTTATCTGCTGCTTTACTGAAAAAAAAAAAAAAAAACCAACCCCAAACCAACAACAACCATGTCTGAGTGACTGTATAATTTTCCTCCCACCCTAGCAAGGAAACGGAAACCTTGAAAAATGAGCTATCTTTGCAGCGGATGAAAGCTCTGTATGAGAGCCAAAGGGTTCTGGAAGTTGAAAGGAAACTTTTCGCGAATGAGAGGCATTTGCAAGCTTGTCAGAGTGAGAATATGAACTTGCGAGTTATGCTGGATGAGCTAAAAATGAAATATGAACCCGAAGGTAAATACTACTTTTCCATATGGGAACAAAAAAAAAATAAAATCTGGTCTTCTCAACCTTCACAAGTTGAAAGTCATTATACAGGAAGACATGGGGTTAGTTCCAGATAAAAACTTGATGTTTTAATGGCTGCCTCTCTGGTAATAGCCTGGTCCATAAACTGCTGAACTGAAATAATAAAGCCCTACCTTGCTGAAGGGCCTTATTTCATGTATGTACACTGACATTAATTTCAGAAGACTAAAGAGCACAAATTACAGTGTTCAGAGGCTTTAGAGTACAGCTAGATAACCAAAGTGAAGTAGGTGGGAACAAATTCTCAGGAGGTGCTTTTCATAATAGTAGCAGTATCTCTCTGTTGATGAGAAGTATCAGCTTTCTGAATGTAGGCAGCTGATGCACTTATCACAAAGCTTGTAAAACATTTTGAAGAAAAATTGTTTAGTAGCTCAAGTTAATATGGATTAAGTTTGACAAGAGGCTCACCTGAAAAGCAGCTGATACCTGGGTACGTGCAGAAACAAGGGAATTGTAGCCTGTGGTGGAAGACGAACGGGGAACCAGATGGGTGAATTGGTTTTGGTACAAAGGATTTAATTTTAAAATCTTAGTTGTTGAAGGTTACCTCAGCAGCCTCCAAAATGGAAATAAAATAATGGAGCATATTCATGTAGTTCAGAGTAGCTAATTAAAAGCCTTGGTAAAAGGCTTTGTTGTTGTTTCTTTTTCAAGCTAACTTCTCTTGGGATGCTTACTTGCTGATATGGAAGGACATTCTTTTAAGGGATGTAAATTGTCTACTATAAATTATTCTAAGGTCTTTAGTCATGTGAAATGTTCTTTACTAGTTTTATTATGAACATGTTTGTGGACAAATTAACTCCAGCTTCACTTGTGTACAAAAACTATATTCCTTTTTTTTTTTCTTAGAATTACTTAAAGGCACTAAAATTAAAAAGAAGAGGGAGAAGATTCCAGTGGACAGTACTTGTGAGTACTTGGACAGCAAAAATACTTCTGTAAAAGAAGCTGCTCACACTCAATTGCCAAGTAAGGAAGAAACAAAGGTGACTTCCAAGAACTTGGAGCAAAGTGATGCTTCTCCAAAAAAACATGCTCTTGAAGCCCCACCAATAAATATAGCTCTTCAAGCAATGCAAAAAGTAGTTGAACCTGAAAGAGAAAGAAAAAGAGCTAAAACTAAAGATGAGAATCATGATGCCTGTACTTCATATAGCAGAAGTGGAAGTAATTCCTTGACTTCAGCTGCCCCCAGGTCAGTGTCCGCTTCTGTCTATGGTCAAGGCAATCAGCACAGACCTGCATCTCTTTTCTTTCGCTGCATGAACTATGCTATCCACTTCTTTATCTGTTTCCTCAGTGTTGCATGCAGTGTAATTCCTCAGCTCCGGCTGCCAACGTTGAACCTCTCAAAACCTTTTAAAAAGATTAAAATGATGACTAATGGCAAAGACTCTTGAAACTGTAACAATCTTTGAAATAACTTTCCCATTACTTGAAAATGTTGAAGGTGTGCAGATAGCGTGACAGTTCACTTGGTTTGCTCTAACTTCAGAAACAGGACTGGCTTTTTGGTCCCTTCAAAGCTGCCCACACAACTGTGTTGCGTATCAAAGTAGCAGAGGCAATGCGTATCATGCTTCAGTCTCATACCTAACTTCAGCCCTCATCAACTTTCAGATTTAACTAAAAGCCTAAAAATTTCGTTAAATAAAGTAATTCTTAACCTGAATTGGGTTAACAGAACTTGCATTGTACACGACAATGGACAATTATGCTGTTGGTGTTGTCAGACAACTGACTTTGATAATCTGGATGCATGATAACTAGAAACACAACTGCTAAACTAAGATCAAGTTTTTCCCCTGAACCGAGAATTTAGGTTACTTTTTGATAAATGGTGAAGTAACTTAGTACAATAATTGGCTCCAACTCTTTTATTTTGGTGAAAGGAATGCTGACTTTTTCCAGCTGATGCTTTTGTATTCTATTCGTATTAGTAAACATGTATTGGGAGTGTTTGGAGGGAGGAAAAAAAAAACCTCTGGGATAATCTAGATGTTTTGACCTTTTGCTTATGTCTGCTAGTAAAAAATAGTTTATTGAATCTAGAATGACAGCAGCTTCAAAGATGGAGGAAGGCCTAACACATGGAAATCTGTACAGTATATCCAAAATTAATGGTATTCAGAGGTAATTAGATTGATATTTTGACTCTTGGATCAATTATCCAAGGTTGCATTGGATGCAATTAACAGATGTAAAATAACCAAACAGTACAATCTTCTGAAATATTCTGGAAGGAATTATGGCAGAAGTAGCAGTTGAAGTAGCCCTGTCAAAACAAAATAGGCAGGGACTGTTGCTGAGGAGGAAAGATCAGGGAGGTCAGACATGGGTGGTGAAAGTTGGAAGAGTGGATCATTGAGTGGTGGTATACTCCTAAAGGAACAGACAGTGTGTAACCTGGCAGTGAAAAGTTTAACTTATTTCCTCATATTCCTTTTGGAAAGGAAGGTACAGTGTCTGCCAAAAGGAAGTTGTTGCAAACAGTTTACGTGAACTGCAGGGGTAAAACTACCAGAGAGGGAGTGAGGAGAGGAAATTCTTTTATGGGGTTGATGTTTGAAAACAGACAAGATGGAAAAAGTGGAAGATGAAGTCACAGTTCAGGGGGAGGGTTCTAATCTTGCACCCGTTGCTGTTGGTTCAAACAAGGAATAAATAAAAACCACCAACACAACAAAAAAAATGCCACAACACTTGTATAAGCTTTAAAGTTGTCTTCAGTGGTGGTATGAACTTTGTAAAAGGCAAATCCAGGCAGACAGTTCTGTTCATGTTTCCAGTTGTGTTAATGAACTACTAAATCCCCAATTAGTGATGTTAAGATAACATTGAGGATTTACTTGACCTTGATCTGTTATGATTTCTTATGAAATAAGAAGTCATAATACAGTCAGAGTATTTGAGAGGTTGGGTTTCTAAACACTAAAAGATTCTCTGGACTGATCTGTGATGGATGGGGCCAAACCCTATGTAGGAGTACAGCTAAATGCAAAGGCTCAAAAATATTGAGCAGGAAT